ACATCCTCCCAGCAGCTGATGGAAACAGATGTAGAAACCCATAGCCAAATAATAGACAGAGATAGGGGAGTCCTATAAAAGAGCTGGGAAAGACTTAGGGAGCCAGAGGGCTCAAGGATATCACAAGGAAATCCACAGAGTCAACTGACCTGAACCCACGGGTGCCCACAAAAACTAAACCACCAATCAAAGAACATGCATGGACTGGTCCTAAGCCCCCTGCACATAAGGAGCAGATATTCAACTTGGTCTTCATGTGGATCCCTGAACAACCGGATCAGGGACCTCTCTGACCCTGATTCTTCACTTCAGGTCCCAATCCCCTAATAGGGCTGTGTTGTCTAGCCTCAGAGGGAGAGGATGTTCAGCAACTTAATGTGCCAGGGCAGGTTAGTGCCCATGGGGAACTTCCAGCTTCTCTGAGGATAAAGAAAGAAGAGAATTGGGAGAACAATATGTGAAAAGGGACAAGGAGGAGTGAAGGGGGAGGATGCAATCAGGATGTAAACTGAAGAAATAAATTTTAAAAATTAAGAACAAAAAAACCATCTGCTAGCTCCAGTATTTCTCTGTTTGGTTTTTGTCTGGATGACCTGTACATTGGTGAGAGTGGGGTACTGAGATATCCCACTGTCAGTGTGTGAGGGTGAATGGTGATGTAAAGTCTAATAATGTTTTTTTTTCTTTGCCAACTTGATTCTCTTGCATTTGGGGCATAGATATTAACAGTTGAAATGTCATCTTGGTAGATTTTTATTTTGATGAGTATGTAGCATCCTTTCCCATCCCTCTTGATTGTGTTTGGCAACAGTCTATTTTTTAAGTGTCTACAACAGCTTTTTTTTTTTTTTGATCCAGCAGAAGGAAAGAACATCTTTCCACCTTCACTCTGTTGCTTTATATCTTTTATTGGAGAATTGGAATTGATACTGAGAAATATCAACGACTAATGATTATTGATTTTTATTTTGTTGTTGGTGTTGCTGCTGGTGGTAGTGGTGGTAGTCTCTATCTTTCTCTGTGTGTATGTGTGTTTACCCTTTTCATTATGCTGTGAAGTTTTTCATTTCCTTTGTTTTTGTCACTGTCATTAACCTCTGAAAAGTGTAGTTTTCCTACTTGTCACATTTATAGGTTTGAATTTTAGACATTATTTAAATTTGACTTTATCGTGAACATTTTATTTTCCCATGCATGTTGATTTGAAAATTTGCTGAGTATAGTCATCTGTGATGACACCTATGATGTTTTGCACACTGTAATACTTCCGTCCAGGCCCTTCTAGACTTATGTTCTCTAGTGTGAGATCAAGTGAAATTCTAATATGTGTGCCGTTATAAGCTACTTTATTTTTTTATGTTTTCAGCGTTTAATATTTTTTACTCTATATGTTTAGTGTTTCCATTATTATGTGGTGAGATGTTTTTAATTTATAGCCCAATATATTTGGTGTTCTCTATGCTTCATGTACTTTTATATGCTTCTCCTTCTTTAGATCAGAAATTTTTTTCTATAATTTTGTTGAAAACCTATTATGGATCTTTGTGATAAATTTCTTCTCCTTCCCTTACACCTATTATACTTACATTTGTTTTTCAAAGTACATTTGTTTTTCCTAGATTTCTTGGATATTTTTCAGGAGTTTTTGGATTATCATTTTCTTTGATTGGTGGATCCATTTTTTTTCTAACATCTCAAATGCCTAGATTCTCTCTTCCATGTATTGTATGCTGTTAGTACATCTTGACTCTTTATTTTTTTAATTTCTAAATATTTCGTTCTCAGTTTGTGTGTGTGTGTGTGTGTGTGTGTGTGTGTGTGTGTGTGTGTGTGGTGTGTTTATTTCCATTTTCAGGTCTTGAACAGTTTTGTTCCCTACAACTTTTGTGGTCTTTGGCTTTCCTTAAGTGATTTAGTCATTTCTCCATTTTTGTGTTTTTCTTGTTTTTTTTTTTTATCAGATTTATCTATGTTCTCTTTAAGGACTCTTACCATCTTTACATAGTCTGTGTTAAGGTTTTTTACTAGTACCTCAGCTATGTTGAAATATGAAAAGCCTGCTGTGATAGGATAGCTGGGTTCTACTGTAGAGATATTGCCTTGGCTGTTATTGTGTTGTTAGGCCATCACCTAGATATTTGGGTTAGGGATGTTTATATGTCTAGGAGCTGATATCTGAATATTTGTCATTGTTGTATGGGTGTTTTATTTCTTATTTTTTGTTTCTTCTCTGAATTTTTGGAAATTGTGATAGCTCTATGTTGCCTGCTTTACTTGCCTGCTCAGGTAGTGTGTTGACAGGGAATGCCTACTGGTGTTGCAGTTTGGCATACTGAAAAAGTTGGGGAAAGAAAAGTTGGAGGAGAAGGTTCTTGTGATAAATTGAGGACAGGATCAGAGAGCAAAGGCAGACAAAAATTTTCTTCTATAGAGCTGGAAATGAGACTGGGGAATTGGATCTTAGGGTCTTGTTGCTGATCTCAGCCTGCTTGCTGCCCTGAGAAGAGCAGCTCTTATGTAGCAAAGGTTGTCAGGTAGAGTTAGAATCTGAACAAAGCAACAAACGGTGAGGGGAAGGTTAGAGGAGGAAGATCTATGGAATCCACAGGGGATGGTAGCCCAAGTGTTCAAAAGGCTACAAAGCTATTTTGCTACAGAGCTGGGGAACTGATCAGGGATTCGGTCTAACAGAGACAGGAGAAAGTCTGTGGGCAAGCTGCCTGGTAATCACGCAGTGTCCTGTGGTTGACCAGATACCATGTGGGGTTGAAAGGTGGGATACAGCAATGTTTGGGGGCAAGTAAAATAGGAGAGGATGGTCTATGGGATCCACAGAAGATGTTGGCAAGGAGACAAGGAAGGTGCAAGTAGTTTTCTGTTTCAGCGCTAAAGATGAGATTAAGGAATAAGATCTAGGGGAACAGAGCAAGGAGAAAGTCCTGCCTGGTTTTCTGATAGGCATGACCTTCATTTGCTTTATTTTTGTAAAGTTCCCTTTTTTATTTTTTCAGTTTCTCATATATATTCAATATAATCGAGGTACACTTCCTCCAAACCCTACTACCAACGTGTGTCAAGTCATTTCATCCTTATTTGTTCTTTTAGTAGTTTAAGGATTATTTTTACATTTGTGTGTGGCCTATGTGGTTTAATCACTCTCATCTTCATGACCTTGCATGAAGACTGCACCTTCGATCCTGGTATAGCTGTCAAATTTTACACAACTGAATAATTATTTTCTCCTATATTTGATTATCTTTGCAGGAGATAATTAACAGATAACATAATTTCCTTACTCTTCTTCAGCCCATATTTATGCAGAACTAGCCAGAGAACTTATCCAATTGTTGAGATATTTTCAATGCGTCTGTGTCCTGGAAGCAGGCAATTCACAATCCTCATCTTACAATCATTTCCCCTTCATTTCCATTATATTGCTTGTACATTCGAGTAGGTGTTTGAAGGTCTTGGTTTACAGATAAGAATTAAACCACAGCTTTTTCTCATATTTCTTGGCCTTAATCACAGATAACTATGAAGAGTAGCAACTTTGATAAGAATGAGAATGAGACTTGTCTATTTGCATACACACAGAAATTTAGAAGGCTGATTGACAAGAAGTAGATTAAGTTAAAGGGCAGCATGGAGTTCCTCCTTATGTGATATGGCCATCTCCCACCATGAAATTTAATTTGGATTAATAGTATTGGGTAATACCCTTTTAAAATACCTTTTAAAAATATCCCTCTTTTGAATTTGAGCTACATGGTAGGTCCATGAATATATTCAGTATGCACACATTAGAAGCATTTTAGTCATGAATATAAAACCCTACCTTTTCCTTTTAGTGATTATATTTTGAAACTATACTCAAATCAAAGTAGCATGAACATATAAATGACAAAATTAAAAAATCAAAATATCACTAATTTAATATTACAGAATGATAGAAACCTATCTTCAAAGAGAAGTGTTATCCTTATATAAATTAGTTAATAAAACATGTCATATGACTTAATAAAGTAAAAATGAAATTCTAAACTTAAAGCATTCATTATACAACAGAAAACCAACAAAAGACATCCATGATAGAATAAAAATAAGTTGTTGTCAGTGTGTGATAAGCTTGAGCCAATATCTTGAAAAAAAAAAATATCACTAAAGAAAAAACTCAAGATATCAAAAGAAAGGTTTGGTTTTCAGGAAATAAAAGATGTTCACCTCAAAATATAAAGCAGAGAAAATACACTGATGTGATAGGTTTCAGAAATAAAGATTTAATGAAATAGAAATATTTCATTATAAATTGAGTGTATATACATTCTTAATTTGAAATAAAAGACACAAATGGCTAGGAGCAATGTATTCAAAATTTAGTTTTGAATATCTAGAAATATTTCAATAGTTCTCTCCCTATATATTAACAAATAATGTTATAGAAAATGTGACTATTATATATATATATATATATATATATATATATATATATATTACTATTGAAGGATTTAAAATTCAGGAATATAATGGCATTTATTATTTCAAAATCAGAGTACAAACTGAACTGGAATACCCATGGGACTTGAGAAAAATAAGTAAATATAGGTTCCATATCTGAGAACACGATATCTGAAACTAATTTCAAAAATATTGTCCATATTGTACAAAATATCTATACAGAAATAAGGACTATTCTAAAAGTGATGAATGAATCAAAGTAGGATTATACAGTATAATTTTATAATCTTATGATTTATAAAGTAGATGCAACAGAGTCACAAATTCGAAAAGAGCATAGAAAGACAAGAAAAAGAGTAGTCTGATTTTTCTCACTGTATGCAATCAGGGCTATATAGATTTGAAATCATTCACAGAGTACTTACATATTTGCTTCTGAAACAATAAGATTCAGAAATTATTTCAAAGAGCTGAGGCTGAGTAAGTATTTAGGGGGAAAGGGAAAAACTTAGGATTGATTCACAATGACCTTAATTTCTGAACAGATATGGATCAGTGTGCAAAGTGTCCAGAAAGTCACTATGCAAACTCAGAGAAGAACTACTGCCTCCAGAAATCTGTGAGCTTTTTGGCCTATGGAGACCCCTTGGGGATGGCTCTCACCATCACAGCACTGTGCTTCTCTGTAATCACGACTGTGGTTCTTGTACTCTTTGTGAGGCACAGAAACACACCTATTGTCAAGGCCAATAACCGGGCTCTCAGCTACACCCTGCTATTGACACTGATCAGCTGTTTCCTCAGTTCCTTGCTCTTTATTGGCCAGCCCAACACAGCCACCTGCATCTTGCAGCAGATAGCATTTGGAATTTTGTTCACTGTGGCTCTCTCCACAGTGTTGGCCAAAGCTATTACAGTGGTTATTGCATTCAGAGTCACTGTTCCAGCTGGCATCGTGAGGTGGTTAGTAGTATCAAGAGCCCCTAATTTCATCATTCCTATCTGCACCCTGATCCAACTTGTTCTGTGTGGAATCTGGCTGGTCACCTCTCCACCCTTCATTGATCAAGATACTCATGCTGAACATGGCCACATCATCATTATGTGCAACAAAGGTTCAGCAGTTGCCTTCCACTGTGTTCTGGGATACCTCTGCTCTTTGGCACTTGGGAGTTACACCATGGCCTTCTTGTCCAGGAAACTGCCAGACACATTCAATGAAGCCAAATTTCTATCCTTTAGCATGCAGGTATTCTTCTGTGTCTGGGTCACCTTCCTCCCTGTCTACCACAGCACCAAGGGGAAAGTCATGGTGGCTATGGAAGTCTTCTCTGTCTTGGCTTCCAGTGTAGCACTCCTTTGCTTGATCTTTGCCCCCAAGTGCTACATTATTTTGCTACGGCCAGATAAGAACTCCTGTCTTGACATCAGGCACAAAACCCATTCAAGAAAGCGTAGTCATTTAAATTTTAGTTAAAGGTTAAAATTAATCCCTGGTAGTAACTTAAATGCAGTGGTTAAAACCAGTATCATACCGTTTTAAATGTTTTTAAAATTTCTTTTTCAGGTATAATATGATGTGATTCTGTGAGTTCAAAATTCTTCATTTAATTGTATTGAAATATTTTTGTTCTGGAACTATTAGTTGTATTTCATGTTTGAGATTAATGTTATTCTCTTTCTGTAAAAGTATCTTACTATGTATCCTTCGTTGACTTGCAGCCCCATAAGTAGACCGGTATGGCATAAACTCATGGATTTCTTGCTTTCTCTGCCTACAAAATGCTAGTGTTAAAGATGTGTCACCATGTTCATCCATGTTGCCTATATTCTGTCCTTCTTTGATTAAAAAATATTCTCTTATATTCTACTGGGTGAATAGAGCATTGTGAGAACAGATTGTCTATCAAGCATGAATTTAACAGATTCTTATTCTCAGTGATTTTTCAGAAGAAATCTTACCTTTTAGAATGACAGTAGAGTTCCTTCTATTTTCATATCTCATTATTTTGTGGCATGAGATAAACTGAAACTTCTTACTGAAGGGAAATAACTCAGATGCTTGATTGGTAACTAGTAGTTGTTTAGAATCCTAGAGCTTAAGAAAAGAATGTCAGTGACTGATAAAGTAGTTCATAGGCTGTTATGATCACAAAGCAATGGAGAAGAGACAAGCAGAGGTGGGCTCACTTAAGCAACAGGCATTATAGAGGATAAAGCTCCTAAAATATTACAGAAGAATAATATGAAGGTTATATAATTCATTGAAAAAATTAAATTTCTTTCTTAGATGTTGGGGTTCTTCTGCCGGTTTATTTTGATGCTAATTACTGGCTCTCAAGATATGGTTACACCTATCCTTACTTTGTGAAACTGCCTAAGACATTTTACTGAACTGGTTCATTGAAGGCCTATCTAGGCAGGGCAGAATGAGGTAGGCATGGATAAGGTGCCCAGGATTTGAGAACAGGAAAAATCATGAGAAACAGATGGATGAGAAGAGAGGAGGGAGGAGGACTCCAGGATGGATTAGCATGGAAAAAGAACCATGTGGGGCAGGAGAAGGACTCCAAGAATGGCATGGAAAGGCCCAGATAAAGAATAAAAGAAAGTATTCACAGGATTATAGATAAAAGGTAGCTTAGATAAAGATGGTTAAAGCAAATGGCATTGGATGGAGGCTGGGAGATGGACGGTGAATTTATTGAGACAGCATAGAGAGAAATATCTGCCTGGCCCAAGGTAATAAAACAATTATAAAATCTAACAGGTGTCTGTGTCTTATTATTTATGACAATGGGTCAAATAATATCATTTTAATAATTATAGAGCAAATAATAATAAACATTATATATTCTAACATTCATTTTTAATTTACTATGACAAATGTTGCCCGAGTAATTTTATGTATTCACGCCCTCTAAGTCATACTTTATCATAATTTTGTGGGGGGAATGAGCTCCCAGCAGAATAACCCAAACTTTTTTTTAATTTATATTAGTTTATTTACTTTACATTCTCTCCCCTCCTCCTAGCCTCCCCTTTCCTCTTTCCCCTTTCTGTCTCCCTTTTCCCCCAGAAAAGGGAGCCCCCTCCACACCTTTAACCTTTACCAGTACATCAAGTCACATCAGGACTGAGCATATCTTCATCCCATGAGGCCAGGCAAGGTAGCACGGCCAGGGAAAGGGATCCAGAAGCAGGTAATAGAGTCCACATTAGAAAAACCCTCCTCCACTCATCAGGTGCCTCATATGAAGACCAAGCAGCCCATCAGCTCTATGTGTGCTGGGGGCCTAGGTCCAGATCATGCATGATTCTTAGTTGATGTCTCGGTCTCTGATAGCCCCATGGGACTGTATTAGTTGCCTCTGTTGGTCTTCTTATGAGATTCCTGTCTTGTATGTGTCCTTTCATGTTTCTCCCAACACTTCCACAGGAGCCCCGAATCTCTGCTCCATGCTTGGCTGCAAAGCCCAGCATCTGTCTGGATCCACTCCTGGCTGGAGTATCCCAGATGACAGTCAAGTAAGGCTCCTGAAAGCATAGCAGAGTATCATTATTAATGTCAGGGACTGTCTCTCTCTACCATGGGGTGGGTCTCAGGTTGAGCCAATTATTGTTTGGACTTTTCCTCGATCTTTGTTCCCTCATTATCCCTGCAGGCAGGGTACTTTTTGGGTCACAGGTTCCATCAGTGGGCCAGTGTTCTCCTCCTTCCAGTAGTCCTGCCTACCTAGGAGGTGGACCTCAGTCTTTATGTCCCCCTCTGTGAGGACTCTCAGCTAGGTCACATCCATATCCCCCTAGGTGCCTACCCTGTCCTGTCACAGGCCTCCAGTTTGACAGAGATGCCCCTCCCAGTTTCCCTTCTTGTTCCTACCCTCTCATCCCTCCCTCCCCATTGTTCTCACAACTAGTACCCATCCTTGCTTCACTCCTTCTGTCCAGTTCCCTCTCTTCATTCACTTCTATTGTGTATTCTATTTTCCCTTCTGAGTGACAGTCGAGCACCCTCCCTTGGGTCCTCCTGGTTACTTAGCTTCTTCCGGTCTGTAGATTGTAGTATGGTTATCCTGTACTATAGATCTAATATCCACTTATAAGTGAATACATACCATGTGTGCTTTCTGAGTCTGAGTGATCATTTCTAGTTCTACCCTTTTGCTGAAAATTTCATGATTTCTTTGTTTTTAGTAGGTGAGTAGTGCTCCCTTGTGTAAATGTACAATTTCTTTATCCATTCTTCATTTGAGGGAAATCTAGGTTGTTTCCAGTTTCTGACTATTATGAATAAAGCCAGTATGAACATAATTGAGAAAATATCTTTGTTGAGTGGTAGGGCATCTTTTGGGCATATGCTGAGGAGTTATAGCTGGATCTTGAGGTAGAACTGTTGCCAATTTTCTGAGAAAACTCCTGATTTGGCTCAATGGTGATTGTACAAATTTGCATTTCCACCAGCGATGAGGGAGTCTTCCCCTTTCTCCACATCCTCTCCAGCATATGTTGTCACTGAGTTTTTATCTTAGACATTCTGGCTGGTGTAGGATGGAAATTTTACAGTTGTTTTGGTTTGCATTTCTCTGATGACTAAGGACATTGATCATTTTTTTAAGTGCTTCTCAGCCATTCGATATCCATCAACTTAATCCACCATATAAACAAATGGAAAGAAAAAAACAAACAAACACATGATCATCTCGTTAAATGCTGAAAAGGCCTTTGACAAAATTCAATGTAATTTCATGTTTAAAGTCCTCGAGAGATCAGGGATTTAAGGCACATACTTAAACATAATAAATGCAATATACAGCATGCCAACAGCCAATATCAAGTTAAATGGAGAGAAACTTAAAGCATTCCTGCTAAAATAAGGGACAAGGCAAGGCTATCCACTTTTGCCATATCTCTTCAAGTAGAACTCTTGAAGTTCTAGCTAGAGCAATAAGACAAGTAAAGAAGATCAAGGAGATACAAATTAGAAGAAATGAAATCAAATCATCGGTATTTGCAGATGATATGATAGTATACATATCTGACCCCACAATTCTACCAGAGAACTTCTACAGCTGATAAGCACCTTCAACAAAGTGTCTGGATATAAAACTAACTCAAAAAAAGTCAGTAGCCCTCCTTTAAACTAGCCCTTTTTACAAAAGGACTCAGAAAGAAATTAGGGAAGCAAAACCCTTCACAATAGCAACAAATAATATAAAATATCTTGGTGAAACTCTAACCAAACAAGTGAAAGATCTGTATGACAAGAACTTCAAGTCTTTGAAGAAATAAATTGAAGAAGATTTAAGAAGACATGTGGATCAGTAGGATGAACATAGTAAAAACGGCCATGCTGCCAAAAGCCAATTACAGATTCAATGCAATTCCCATCAGAATTCTGACACAATTCTTTACATACCTATAAAGAGCAATTATTAACGCCACATGAAAAACTAAAAGACCCAGGTTAGGCAAAACAATTCTATACAATAGGAAAACATCTGGTCAAATCAACATCCTTGATCTCAAGCTATACTACAGAGCAATAGTAATAAAAACTGCATGGTATTGGCATACAAACAGCCAGATTAATCCAAAAATAAACCTACACTCCTACAAGCCTTGATTTTTGACAAAGAAGCCAAAACCAAACAATGAAATAAATAAAGCATCTATTGCCAGGTATACACACGCTTTGCTCTCTACTGCTGCTAGCTGGCTCAGCTGTCAAAGAACAGCAACAGGGGCATGGCTGTGGAGACATTTCAAGATAGAGAGGCAAAACTAGAGGCAGTCAGACTTTAGACAGAGCTAGACCAGGAACTGCATCTAAAATTAAAACGCCGTGGCAGAGGGTGCTTGGATTCCTTTTGGCTTTGTTTTGGTTGTCATAGTCATGGCTCTCATTGTAACATGACTGTCATTAAACACATGGATTATGTGTTTAAGGGTGATGGCTCTTCTCCATGCCTTTTCCAAGAAAGTTCAATGAGAAAATGGGGGAAAAAAACCAAAGGATGGAATACTAAGTTGCCAAAAATAGAAAGGGCATTCTTCTTGATAGAAACTGGATTAATATTGGCTAAAATTCAAAACTATCTGGCTACAAGATACTTGTCAGCTCTTTCTGGAAAGGGTCTCCCAATATACTGTAGCAACTACAGCCTGAATTGTCACAACTGGCCCAAAACTTAGAACTTTCTTGTTTTTTGCTCAAGTGTTTGTTTTCTTCAATTATAATTTCCCCTCACACTGAGTTTTTAATTTTAATTGATTCTGTTTCTAATTTCAAGTCTGCAACTGTTTTATTCTTTTCCTTCCACTGTTTGTATTTTCATATATTTATTTAAAGGATTTGCCTTTTTTTTTTTTACTAAGGAGCATTATAATATTTATAAAAGCTGTTTTATGGTCTCTCACTTCTGCTTCACTTCTGCTGGAATACTCAGAGCCTACTGTGGTAGAGATCCTGGTTTC